AGCGACTTCCAAATCTGACGATGGCCACGCGAACTTTTTCCTCCAGTAAATTTTATATAGTGAATGTGCAGGGAAACTTCTTTTTCTGATTTAACGAAGCTTATATGTAAAACACATTGAGCATCTGGCTCGCTAATAGGCTGTACTGCGGCAACTGCACATCCAATGGCGCGGGCGCCTCTGACGTGCGACCAATGAGCTAGCCCTACGTCATTACACGATCTTCAGTCTTCACGGACCTTCGCGGGGTTCAGAGCTGGCGGGGTTTAACCAGACGGTACAGCTAACACTGACAGCGGCAAAAGCGACGAATGCGCTTTTCACTTGTAAAACTCAAGGGTGTATGGGTAATGTAGTCTCTGCTCTCGGTGGGACGAATTGGGAGGCGTGCATTGTGAAGGGAGCTCTGAAAAGCGACAGCGCAGCCAAAGGATTAAAACAGATGTGCAAATGAGCGTACCGGTACGCTAAAAGCATGTTCTGGGCGCACGGAGAGGTGGCGGTACGCTCAAGAGCTATATTAGGAAGTGGCGGTACTGAGTACCGGTGCGTACCGGCCCACTTAAAGCACTGGTAATATCACAGATCTAAAGTGTGCTACGTTTGAATGTTTAGTTCTGTCCTCTTCTCTGTGGTCACTCATTAAGCTGGGCTGTCGTGCTGTGCGCACTGTGGCACCGCGTGAGAGATCTCTCTCTATCTGGACTGCGAATAGCAAAAATGCATCACAGACTAATGGTTTAATATTAATATATCCAGAAATGGCTGGTGACTCAGCGAGATGGTAAAAAAAAAAAACCAATAACGTCTGATGATCACCCCGCCTACGTGTATTTCTCCAGTACCGACAGCTGAGCCAATAACGTCCGAGCTTATCGATACAGCGGTCTTTCAAAATTCAGCCCCGGGCTCGTTTAATACCGGGTTTCGGTACCCATCCCTACCAGTGTAGGCCCTACTGTGTTTTCCACACTGGGAATGTCCTCTTTCTCGTATCAGCCTCGTAGTTCTTTGACATTTTAACACGTTAAAATAACCTGAAGTAACACTAATGGTGTGTTCATACCGAACACGAATTTAATTATTTGCCCGAGTAGATTACATTCTAAGTCAATGCAAAGACGCGAATAGACGCATCATTTGCGCCGGCGTTGCGAATGACGCGAATTGGGCGACGCGTTTACCGTGAATGTCTTCCGCGCAAGTCGAAAAATTTGAACTCGAGCGAATGTTCAAGCGTCTAAAGACGCGTATTTGACGCTCTATTCGCGTTCGGTGTGAACACACCATTACACTCTTCGCGCCACTGTGTATGACGTTTGCTGTTTGTTTTGCTGATGGCCAGTCACTGGCCCACGCGGGCCAGTGACTGGCCAATCAACTTGCCCGACATACTCTTTTATTGGCCCCGGGCCATCGGGCCATTGCTTATGTCGAGCCCTGGGCTGCGTTCAGCGCCGACAAAACGTTGCAGAACGTTTTTTAAACAGAAACGGTGATGCGTTGAACGCACTGTTGTGATGACGCAAGAGTTGCAACTACGGCAGCTGAGAAGGCTTTTTGTGTTCTTTGTGAAGAATTTTCGGAGCCTGATGAAGTCGGTATAAATATGTTTAATACTACAAAATATGCCCGATGTTACAGTTACTGCACTTGCCGCCCAGAACACAAGAGAACATCCCAGTCGAGTGAAGGGATTTGTGGAAACTGAAATGGAAGCACATCTTACCTAATAAAGACTAAAACACATCTATTTAGCCTCACATTCTTGTTGTTCATAATGTTTTATTAATACCCTGTATTTTCTTTCTCATTTTTAGGAAAAGCACTTTACATGCATTGTTTATTTCTATACCAAATGTCACACACTTGCAATGAAGCTAAAAATATAAACAACTACATCATTATGTTGATATCCTATATTTTTACAATAATACTTACGACAAACATGTCTTCTAATATCCTCAGTTGTTGCATATCGAACACATTTGTAAATTACTTCCATTGTGCGAGTTCTCTTTAATACCGTGTGCTTTATATACATGTTGCTGCTGATTGGACTGCAGTTCTGACACGCCCACCAAACAAGAGAAAACGCATCTCAAACCCTGTTGCACACCGGTGCACGCCGTTTCCAGGAAACATTACGTTCAACCCGGAAACCGTAACAAAACGTTGCGCACCGTTGTGATCTTGAACATGCCCCAGGGTTAGGCATAGACGGTTTGGAAGATTGTTTTATGATGTATTCACTCATTATTTAAATTTTGAGCAGAAAAAGTTGCATAGCTTTAAGTAGTATTTTCAGGGCATTTCAGCAAAGATAAATATCATGTCAATATACAATAGGTTGCCAATAATGACTCACTGATGCCAGAAAATCCAAGGCCTAATCCTCGGACGATGGCGGTCAAAAGAAGTTTTTTATTTTTTTTGTTTTAGACAGTTTTTGTTTTTTAAAAGAAGTGTCATTTTCTCAGTGAGAATATTTCTATTGTTTTAGAAAAAAGTCTCTTCTGCTCACTAAGGCTGCATTTATTTGATTAAGAAAAACTGTAAAAAATTGTGAAATATTATTACAATGCAAAATAGCTGTTTTCTACGGAAGCTTGTTTCCGCCACAGAATGAAAAATAAAAAAGGTAATTGCGACTTTTTATCTCACAATTCGGACTTTTTTTCTCACAATTGCGAGTTTACATCTCGCAATTCTGACTTTATTTCTCAGAATTGCGAGATATAAAGTCAGAATTGCGTGAAATAAAATCGCAATTGCGTGTTGTAAAGTCAGAATTGTGAGATATAAACTATTCTGAGGGGACAAAAGTTAGTCTTTTTCCCCCCTTAGAATTGCGACTTTACATCTCACAATTTTGAGAAAAGATGTCAGAATTTCGAGATATAAACTCGCAATTGTTCGAAAAAAAGTCAGAATTGTGAGATAAAAAGTCGCAATTCTGTCTTTTTTTCTCGCAATTGCGACTTTATATCTCGTAATTGCGACTTTATTTCTCAGAATTGCGACTTTATATCTCACAATTGCGAGTTTACATCTCGCAATACTGACTTTATAACACATAATTGCGACTTTATATCTCGCAATTGCGACTTTATTTCTCATAATTGCGAATTTATATCTTGCAATTGCGACTTTATTTCTCAGAATTGCGACTTTATATCTCGCAATTGCGACTTTTTTCTCACAATTCTGACTTTATATCTCGCAATTGTGAGATAAAAAGTCGCAATTATTTTTTTTATTTTTTTATTCAGTGGTGATCAAAGCTGAATTTTCAGCATCATTACTCCAGTCTTCAGTGTCACATGATCATTCAGAAATCACTCTAATATGATGATTAGATGCACAAGAAACATTTATGATTATTATCAATGTTGATTATTTCAGGATTCTTTGATAAAATGAAAGTTCAAAAGAACAGAATTTCCTTTTTAACATTTTAAATGTCTTTCCTGTCAATTTTGATTAAATGAATGCCTCCTTGCTAAATAAAAATATTAATTCCTTTAAAAAATTTTAAAAAGTCCTGACCCCAAACATTTGAACGGTAGCCTAGTTTACCAAATTGAACCAACTTGATGACTTTAGAGCACCATGGTGTGAGGATTACTTGATCCAAAGTAGAAAAAAATCTGCTCAAAGCTCTGGGACGAATTTGAGAACACATTCGAAAGGCATTCGACACTATAAATCACGATATTCTTCTGAAGAAGCTGTTTAAGTATGGGGTCAGAGGGGTTGCATATTCTTGGATTTGTTCTTATATAAATAACAGAACACAATTTGTTTCAGTTGATGGAATTATGTCAAGTCCCCTGAAAATTATATGTGGGGTTCCACAGGGCTCGGTCCTGGGACCAAAATTGTTTATTTTATATTTAAATGATCTCTGTAGGGTCTCAGGTGTTCTCAAGCCTATTCTTTTTGCGGATGATACCAATTTTTTTTTATTCTGGGAAAGAGTTAAAAGATATTGTGAGAAATGTGGAAAGGGAGATGGAATGGGTTAAGAAATGGTTTGATATTAATAGGCTGTCACTGAATATGAGTAAAACAAAGTTTATGATTTGGGGTAAAAATAGTGTGACAGAAGTGAAAGTAAGAATAGGGGTGGAGGAAATAGAAAGAGTAAATGAAATACAAATTTTGGGTGTTATATTAGATTGTAAATTGGGGTGGAAAAAGCATATTGATTATGTAAAATCTAAAATCTCAAAGACAGTTGCGATATTAAATAAGATTGGGAATTTGTTAAATAAGAAGGCATTATTTATGTTATATGTATCATTATTTGTTCCATATTTAACGTATTGTCTGGAGATTTGGGGTAATACGTATAAGACATACACCCAACCACTTTTTATTTTACAAAAGAGAGCTTTACGTATTATTACAAGATCACAATATAGGGATCATACAATTTAATCATACAATCTAAAATTTTATGATTTAGTGGATTACAAGGTTACATTGATAATGTATAAAGTATACTATAAAATGCTGCCTGATAAAGTTTTGAGTATGTTTGAGAAACGTTATTGTAAGTATGAGTTAAAAGGAACATGTTTGTTTAAAAAACTGAAGGTACGAACAAATATTAGATGTAGAACTATCTCTGTAAGAGGAGTGAATTTATGGAATTGTTTGCATATAGATCTTAAATTGACACAAACAATAAGTGGATTTAAACGGCTCCTAAGAAACAAGATGATACTTTCATATAGATAGGTTTTGGGTAATTAATATCTATGACTTTGTTGTTTCAAGTGTTTGTAAGAAGAGAATTGAGCACTGTTTGACTGTTGTAAAAAAAATTGAGAGGGATAGGCGTCAATAAGCCTTGAGCTTCAGCCTATACCCTTTGGTTTAATCAAAAGTTATGTATATGATGAGTTGAATATTTGTTATTGTATATTTGTTAATGATAAACCAAATAAAATGAAATGAATGAATAAATTAATGTATCTGTTCCCAGTACATACTCTGTAGCTGCTGGCCTCATCGTCCTCCATTTTGACCCCAGGCGTGTGTGTGCTGGGCTCCCCGAGGTCCGTCAGGTCCTGCCAGTCGCACGACGAGTCTTTAGAAAACCCACTGAGGTCCAGCGACTGGTCACCACCACCCAAAGACGCTTCGTTATCGGGAGACGAAGATTCAAACTCCTGCTTCAATCCGGACGCCAGCTCGGCCTGGAGCTGTTTTCGTTTCATGAGGGCTCGCCAGTCCAGGTAGCGCCGCTTGACCTCGGCCGCCGTCCTCAGCTCGCCTTCTCCTAGCGCGTTCACGCTGTCCGCCACCTCTTCCCACGCGCGCCGCTTCAGCTCGTTGATGGCCATGTTCTGCTGCCGGGAGAACAGGATCTCACGCCGCTTGTGGATCTCGCGGATGAGAGTCTGAGTTTCCTTCACGCTGTAGTTACTCTTCCTCTTCCTCTTCAGGTGCTTCATCTGAAGGAAGTCCATGCTGGGAGGCTGATTGGCTACTGGTAAATGACTGGAGAAGGTTTCTGTCACTCCGGACACATGTTCAAGTTCATGTTGACCCACATCGAGTGCAGGCGTCTAACACAGGTCTCCTACAACAAACACACACACACACGCTTTTAGTTACACGCAATAAATATTAGTAATAAAGAATCAGACAGAACTGTACAATCTTTGATGTGAACAAAAAACAATGATAAATAAAACCAGAACGCTTAGAGTGTGCAGATTTATACTATATTTATACTATACTATAAAAATGTGGGGTCAGTGAGATTTTTTTTATTGTTTTAGAAAAAAGGCGGCACTTATTTGATTACCGTGAAATATTATTACAATGCAAAATAGCTGTTTTCTATGTGAATATATAGTAAGGTGTAA